ACTTATAACAACATTAAAAGAAAAGTATTTACTGTACATATCATTTACAAATATTTGTAAAAAGACGCGCACAAAAAACAAAACAGATTCATTCTTAAAATATAAAAGTTTTTAAGACTTTTCACACTGAACTTTAAAAATTTGATCACGCAAATCTTTTGCATTTTTAAGATTAATTTTGAGATCGTCTATCAAACCCGTCCCTAAATCATAAACCCAACCATGTACTTCGAGTTTACCCCCACGGTCCCATACATTTTGAACTATGTTTGTTGCAGAGATGTTGTAAACTTGTTGCACGACATTAAATTTAACCAATTCATTTACACGGTCTTTCCTCTCCGGTAACGCATCAATTTTAGATTTATTTGCATAGTAAATATCCTTGATATTACGTAACCAGTGGTCAACAAGGCCATGTTGGTCGTTGCCTAAAGACGACGAAAAGAAGATTAAGAAAATGCAAATCAATTTAATCAAAAAGAAAATGTCTCTTAAATATTTACTCAATGACGCAGAAACACCTCCACATCCAGTATGACCTATAATCAGAGATTTTAATAAAGAAAAGTTAGAAAAATGTAAATACTTTTCTTTTAATGTTGTTATAAGTGTTATAAAAAATACATCAATTCAAATACATGAAAAATAAAAAAATAAAAAAAATAAAATTTTTTTGTTATATACCACAAACGATTATATGCTCAACTCCAAGATGTTCCACTGCATATTGTAACACAGATAAAGAATTTAAGTCTGTATGGTTGAATTGGTTAGCGATATTTCTGTGAACAAAAATTTCACCAGGTCCCAATTGAACTACAGTTTCCGCAGGAACTCGAGAATCAGAGCATCCTATAATTCATCCACTATGAATAAACTTATTAAAAGGATATAATCTACTAAAATAAATTAATAAATTTTAATTTACCAAACCAAACAATTTTTGGCTTTTGCCCTTCTGCATGACTGGCAAAGAATCCTGGGATTTGCGCAGTAATAGCATTAGCCCATTCTTTATTTTTTTTTTAACAATCCTTCAAGATTTTCACCAGCCTCAGCGAATGAAATAGGGAGGGGTGTAATAAGGTCAGTGGAAGCGCGTGGGATACGGTTGTCTAAAAAAGCTAGATGCAAATGGATGTATAATATTTCGGATTACTATTATTGATGATCTCTACTATCTCCACTAACAAACTTAATATTTTTTTTGTGGTAACTTGAAAATACCTATTTCGGATTGTGAACGCTTTAATAGTTGATCTTTATCAATAATCCTTTTTTCACCTCTTCTTTCTTCTTTATTGGTACCATTTGTGTCTTCAACATCTTTGATGTCAATATTTTCATATTCATCCATGACGTTCTTTGAAAGTTGTAAAAGATAAATTCAGGATAGTTTTAAATAATAGCCGTCAATAAGATTTTTACATACATTTTACCTTAGAAAAAAAAAATCAACTTGGTTTTTTTTTACAATAAGTCTTTGATAATTTGGATCTACTAAGCGAGTTGACCAGAATATTTATCGATATCTATCATTATTTATATCCCCAGCGTAAGACAAAAAATCATCCTCGG